ATTCACAAATGTCTTAACTTAACTGTAAGAGGGGTTTTCGCTAAAAGTATTTTCAGTTCAGGAAGAAAAAGTTGATGTAAAAAAAACGCATTAAGATTTTTAAAATGACATTTTTGATTTTAGAATACACATTTTGGCACGTTTTTGATTCAAATGCAGTAAATATGCGTCATAAATATGATTTCATCTGTATCATCTCCTGACTATTAAACTATTTTCTTCAAAATAATTAACAAATCTTTTTTTTAAAATCACGTTAACTTTTAGCATCACGGTTTAATTCACAATTGCTAAATTTCACATGAATTGCTAGATTTTGTTGAATCTTTTATTGAAATTGTAAAAGCGTTGAAAATTAAAAGGATGAACAAAACATTTATTTGTTGCTTCTCCTGTTTTGACCTAGCAACTAAAAATTATGTGATATGACCTCAAATTTATGACTTTGCTTTTCATAATATGGACTTGTATACAAAATGATGACTGAGCATCTTAAAATATTGATTATATCAAAATTGTGACTTTGTATCTGAAAATTATGAGTTGATGTCTCAAAACGATGACTTAATTTCTCATAATTATGACTTTATGTCTCATAAACATGACTTACTGTCGTTAAATCATGGTTTATTTGAGAAAGGTACCGGGAGCGCGCAATTTTCCATACGCGTTCACATGTCCGCGGCCCCGGGAAGTAAATGGGGCACGTGACCCTTTTCGTCCAATCGCATTTTAAATGTAAGTGCGCGCGCTCTTGGTGTTGCCTCGTTACGAAAGAGCCGGAGGAGCTGAGGAGCCGTTTCGCTGGCGACAGCTGCGACCACACATCAGAGAGAAACCGGGAGAAAGTAGCAGAATGTCTGAAGAAAAGCCAAAGGTTGGTACCGAGTGTTTGTTTTAATTAACGAGCGTACAGTTCGGGTCCAGAGCCGGCGGTGTCAGACAAGTTAACGTTAGCACGTTCTGCGCTAAGCTGGCCCTGCTTTCCAGGCTTGTTTGAGCGGGTAGAAGGAGAAAACAAAGGTTTGCGGGTGTTCTGGTTTTAAGCGAAAATTAGAGTATTGTTTGCAGCTTCTGGTTAAATTTTAACCCCGTTTACTCCTCGACGTTAAGCTACGGAAGCTATATTTTAAACAGCGCTAAAAGAGATGCATTTGCTACAAAAAATAGATGATTTCTGCTTCCACGCTCTGGTTTGCGCCATTCATTGTAGCGCTCTGCGCCAGTTTGGTTAGCTTGTTGTGCTAACTGCAAAGGAAAAAGCCGAAAGCAGCAATGAAAGCTCCTTCCTGGGCCTGTGAATGTGTTTAATTCATGTTTGGTGCTTCTGATAAACAATATTTTGTCGGTAACCGGTCGATTTGTCGGTTCTGGTTTTGTTGCAGGAAGGAGTGAAGACTGAGAACGACCACATCAACCTGAAAGTGGCCGGTCAGGATGGATCAGTGGTGCAGTTCAAAATCAAAAGGCACACTCCCCTCAGCAAACTCATGAAGGCGTACTGCGAAAGACAGGCAAGTTCATGAAATACTGAAACATATGACTGCTTACAAAGAGATTGTGGACCTATGCTGGCAGACTTGTTTATGTTTTACCTTGTGTCTTTTCTAGGGGCTGTCGATTCGTCAAATAAGGTTCAGGTTTGATGGACAGCCAATAAACGAAACGGACACACCTGCACAGGTTGGTTAAATATATGTATTACACATATACACACACACTCTAAAAGCCAAATACACCTAAAGATGGCCGCCACAGACAGCTGACCTAAAAAAAAAAAAAACCCAAAGCTCTGTATTTCAGTTTTAGACAGTTGTGCTAGTATTTGGTGTGACCAAGTGCTACTACTATACCTATTGTGTTGAGGTCATGAAAACTGCAGTGAACCTGAAGGGCCTCCGTTATGAAAATACAAGCTCTGCAAACTATATGGAGGTGAGGAGTAGGGCTGTGTATTGGCAAGAATTTGGCGATACGATACATATCATAACAGGGGTCACGATACGATATATCCCGATATATTGCGATACTGTAAGCAAAGCAATATATTGCGATTTTTTTGTCCAAAAATTCTATTAAATGAAAACCTCTTACTGAAAAGAAAACTAATGTTTACTTACAATGCTAATGCTTTCTTACTCTCTGGTGCACAAAAGGTAGAGGAGCCAAATGGCTGGCTCACTGCTGCCGACTAGTGGTCAGAGGCTGAACTACAACATAAAAATGAACGGTTGGCAAGAAGGTTGACATTTTAAACATTAATTAAAAATCGATACAGGGCTTTAGAATATCGATACGGTATCTGGAAATGAAATATCGCGATATTTCAGTGTATCGATATTTTCTTACACCCCCTAGTGAGGAGGTCCTGTCGGCAGCACGGTCTAAACGATCAACTAATGCAAGCAACTGTGTAACGCAAATTCAGTTTAATGTAATAAGAGTTTTTACAGTGCCTGACCAAATGTGCAGAACAAACTTGCTCATAGTTTTTCCTTAGAAATTCTGTGGTAAACTTGACCTTCCTCCCAATAATTTTTTGAACAATTTCCCCTTGATTCATGACAACATATGGTAGCCTTTAATAGTGCAAGCCCTCTGACCAAAGATCTGATTGTGACGACCATATACGTGACAATAATTCACTATCTATCGAGACAAGCTTCTGTTTGAACCAGCATTGCAACTGAAATGGACAACTTCCTGTTTGATGTCACATGAAAACCTTTTATTGCCAGTTCAAGATGGCCGCCACAGCTAATGAACTGGAGGCTACACGCAAATGCCACGTTTACAGATATGGACCCAAAGTTTGATCCATCTAGGACACCCAGTTAGGTAATCATTAAGGGAAATGTGTTTCTAAGCTCTAGAGGAAATGGGTTTTGGCTCGCTTTGATCATAATGCAGCAGGATTACAATATTAAAGCTTACACAGCCTGTCATTAGAGCTATTTTATTTTAGGTCGAGAGGCATAGTGAGATTTTCCTCTCCTGCCTTCAGTACAGATATCAGTGCAGACCCTTCATTCTAATTGTGATGATTTTAATCTCTATGAAAGTGGTACTTAGTTTAATAAGTACTAGGACAACGCAAAGTTATGTGTCAAAAACTGTAGACAGAGTAATGTGAGTGAACRTGACTAATGTATAAATGTTTTTGTTTCAGCTGGAGATGGAAGATGAGGACACTATTGATGTATTTCAGCAACAAACAGGAGGAGCTGTTTAAGCAACATTTGGACTGTTGGTAGAGCGTCACCTTCATGTGTGTTTTTTTTTTTTTTTTTTTGCCATTTACGTTTTCCCCCTCCGTGCTTGGCTTCATGTCATGCTGTTCGTGGCAAAAATCCGATTCCTCATCTGGAACCGTTGACTCTGAGCAGCAGCAAGGCCTTTTTTAAACACGCTCTATTTACATAAAAGATTTGTTTTAAAACCGTCAAAGGCAGGAGCGCATCTCAGATGAAGTTATGGATTTAAAAACGAAAAAAAAAAAAGTTTTTAATGTGAGATGTCCTCTTAAATCACAAGCTGACTTTACATCAGTTTGTTGAGAGATTCTGTGGTTTTCTGTCCATTTATGGAAGAAGAAAACGGATATTTTGAAACTTTTTAAGTCTTACAGGAATTTTCATTGAATATCTTTACCCAAGTTAACACAAACAAAATTGTTGTGGAAGAAAATATCAAAAAATGCTCTGGTCAAGTCAGATGTAATAAAATGGTATTGTGTGGTGAGGTTGCTGGACCAAAATTGCCCAGTTCTTTTTACATCTATAACCTTAGGAGCTGATATTTAAAACAAAATACTGCATTATTGATATATTCTATTAYGCAGGGGAAATGGTTCACTTGTAAATGGACTTTATTCCACTTTTGGGGCCCTTTTTAAAAACGTAAACTTTATTATTTTTTTCAAGCCGTTACCAACTAAATATTCCACTCACTATATAAGTCATACATACTGTGTTTCCAGTTTTGAATGGTTTGTAAAAAGAATATCAAAACTTTATCTACATATTTTTGTTAGCTGCTTGTGTGTTTGTAGGATTTAGCTTTAAAAATGTCTACTGGTGTTTAAAAAAAAATAAAGTAACCAGTTAGAATTGCCAGTGACCTTGACAATTTTTTTTATTTGTACATTATTTGTTGTCTCTATTCTGTATACAATAAATATAGTTTGATATGTTTTGAATATTGTGTGTTTTTCTGTGAAGCAAATAATCATGCATGGTGACTTTTTTCTTTCCAAAAAGGAAGATGAGAGTGAGTCATTAACTTTTTCCAGATGTTACATGCTATAAATGTTGTAGTTTTGTTTGTACGTAAAGCAGCTAAACCAGTGTACACCAGGGGGCGCTRTAATACTAGATTTTCTTGCGCTGYTTCTTTAATTTAAAACCTGAATCTTTGTTTCAGTCGTGATTATACAAACACACATGTTGCTTTGCTTCACTCCCATGAGAGTTTAAGTTTCATGATCCTCCTTATTCAGCCCAATTTGATTTCACAGATGTTGCTGAACAGCAGCCAAGTTAATTCTCCATGAGGTTCCTCACACAGAGGTTTGATTGTGTTGCTTGTATTTTTGGCTCTTTTTTTTAAATTTTATATTTCCTCGTGGGGGAATCAGAAATCAGTCACATTTCCTCCCAATTAGTGCAGAAATTCAGCTGCGAGGTGCCCCTGCTGCCTGTACATTTGACCTCTTGGTGTCTTAAGTATTGCTCTGAGTTTCAGGGAAAAATGCTGTTTATAAAGAGTTTTATTACATTAAAATTTATTTTCATATTAACTGCATTAAGTGATGAATCAKCTAAGCTGGAAGGGAGACAGGCATGAGCTCAGGAAGTTTTTGTTTGCCACACTTGATCGTATCAGGAGCGCCTGTTTRTCAGCACACAACCTCATTTGTTTGACTGTGGTCATGAGAATGACTCTGTAGGATTGTTGTTTCAAAGTTTAGCCAGTGTTGAGTTTGTCATGTGCTGGTCTGCTGTGACAGCATRGAAAGAGCTTCTTATTTATCAGGATAATAGGTGGATTAATGAGTCCAGTTACACACTCACTCATTCAGCCAGGCTTCTATAATAGAGGTCAGGTGATGGATATTAATACGGGTTTTTGTTATGTGACAATGATAGCATTAAATAATCTCTTGGTGGACGACACACCCTAAAGAAACTAATGTTTTGTCCTTGTTCACAAGCAAACATAGTTTTGTTTGTCTGCCAAATCATWTCTGATGAGTTTTCCATTTACTAAGAYTAGCATTTYAGTTCCTCTGCATGTGCTTAAAGTMAGTATTTTGCAGTGCACTGTGGTCTAAATGCCTACTGGTTTGTGTTCATATCTATCTGCAGAGTTGTAAAGTAACTAAGTACAAATACTTTGTTACTGTGCTTAAGTAGAAATTTTGGTTTTCTGTACTTTACTTGAGTAATTATTTTTTAGTGTACTTTTTACTTTTACTCATTACATTTTTACACAATTATCTGTACTTTCKACTCACTACATTTTTAAAACAGTTAAAAGGTAGGGAGTTGTTACTCCTATTTTATTCCGTGTTGTTATTACTTAAAAAATACTATCCTCATTGTGTCTCCTGGATAGAGTGAATTTAACTGTGGATGAGAAGTATAAATATAAACCATTCTGACACCCTATTAGCTTGTACACAACCCATCACAGCTGCACGCCGTTAAAAAAATATTTTTTGGAGAAGTCACCTCCCAATAAATGTCATTTTGGAAAATCTAACTGCTCACTTTTACTCAGTACTTTTACTTTTAATACTTAAGTAGATTTTGTGTCAGAAATTTACTTTTGAATTTACTTTTGACAAAAAAATATCAGATACTTTAAGACTTTTACTC